CTGCCTGACTTCCCCAAATCAGACCATTCATATTGGGTTTAATTGGGAAGAACTAGACAGCACGTAAAGAACGCAAACCTCAGAGGAAGCATAGTCTCCTGGTAAAACCGTGATAGCCCTGAAACTGTTTTGCTTTTCTTCCCTATCAAGCAATTAAGGTTTGGGATTTAAATGGGAATTCATTAGAACTATATTTCTGTAGATAGTGCATAAAGAACACAGAAGAACTATATTTCTGCAGATGGTGCATAAAGAACACAGACTTCCATCCCCACAGTTTTCCGTGTATGATTACCTCCGTTTATGGAGGTATTGTTTTGTATTAGTGGGTACTTGAATGGAAGGGGTAGAGTGAGTATGCGGTGGAATTTTCATGTTTTTAACCTGTTAAACTTGAACATGTTGAATAAAATTGTCTTTCACTCCTAACAACTTGCCTTTACTTTCACCACTTCTGCAGGTCTGTAACAGACCCTCGAGACGGAAAGCGAGTGGCCCTCAAGAAGATGCCCAATGTCTTCCAGAACCTAGTATCCTGTAAGCGCGTCTTCAGGGAACTTAGAATGCTCTGCTTCTTCAAGCACGATAATGTGAGTAGTCCTTCTTCACTTTGAGTTTAAATCTTATGTTACATTTGAATGTTTATTCTACAAAGACCGCCAAGTCAAATAACATGAAAGTGTCCTTGAAATACATTTCAGTCTTAGTTCAAAATCTCTGCCATATTCACCTTCATAAAAGTCCTGCAAAATTCACAATCCTACAATAACATTTTCATCTGCTTTTCTTTTATCCTCAATTCACACTATATTTCAAAATTTCTTACGTATGCAGGTATCTCGCCTCTTTTTCCTCGAGAGGAATATGATATTCCAAATGTGTAAATCACTCCATTTTCATATGTTTCCATTTTCTTTTTCATTCTTCTCGCATAAGAGTAATGATATAACAGTTTATCTACTTTCCCATCTTCCTTTTGTAGCCTCTTTATGTCTGTAATATAAGTCTTATGAGTGTGCAAATGATTGCCTCCTTTAGTATCATCTATGTTTGGTTCACCAACATTGAAAGGAAAAATGGGTCCTGTGATTGTGTCCCCCACTGTTTTTGTATTAGGAATAGGACTTATGTGTCGTATTAGGACAGATTATCAGCTGTTCTGCTGTAGACATTATTTGATTCCCTAGAGCCTTTTAACACCCTCTTTCCACTAGAGTCTGCGACTGCTGAACAACCTAAAGACTAAACTCTGGCAGATCGGTCAGCTAATTTTGCGCATGAATACATTTTGTAAATTCTAGGTTTTACCGGGGGTATTATATTTTAAAATATTCATTTCCACGCTGCATCATAGTCTGATCATAAAATCAAGGATCACACAAATACAGCTGCTGTAACTAGTGTAAGCTCAGTGATCGTTGTGTGGTAAATGTTGGCAAAAACCCAACATACAAAAACTGTGCAAGCATGTGAGTACCCTAAACCTGCGTATTAAGAACATATGCGCCAAGAACGTATGTTTGTTTGTGTAGTATGTTGCCTCAAAGGCTGGCATACAATTCAAACTGAAGTTTTTTTTTACATCAAAACAGGCCGATTTCCATGCAGGAAAAATTGGCTGATTTCCACACAGTTTTCACATGCTCATGTCATGTGCGTATGCTGTAGGTATACATTTGGGTTTTGTCCACGTGTACATTGTAAATCAGGTCTAAGCTGTTACTGCTCTTGGTACCCATGGGCCTTGAGATGAACAACTATTGTGTACTAATGTTATGACACCTTGAGTGACCTTTTGTATTTTGTTCTTTTTTTTTGGCTGCAGGTCTTGTCAGCACTGGACATCTTGCAACCTCCTCCTCTCAACTTCTTTGAAGAAATGTATCCTTTTTTAACACGAAAGTGTCTTTATTTCATGGTTCCCTATAAATACATTTGCTTTCATGGCGGTTTTATATATTATTTGATGGGGGAAAAGTTTTTGCATTTACTGTAAAACCTGAAGTAGTTTTAACAGGTGGATTGTGAACTTTTTTTTAGCTGTACTGTGTACAAACACAGATGGGGAGATATGTTAACCAGGCATGTAAATTGGAGTGGCCTAATGGATGCTCCTAGTTGTGATTCACAGCAGGCCCAACTGACAGTGATTGATGTCTCCTACCCCTGGGGAACATGTCCAACTTCCCAGTCCTGGAATTGACAGCTGCCATTGTGTGCAAAAACTAGTTTAATTGTCCACCATTATTGATCTTTTCAACACTTGTAATGGTCTGTAGAATACGCTATGGACAGTATGAGTGGGAAACTTTTAAGCCTTCATAACTTAAATCACTAGTATTTCATGCAGTCATGATGTGAGTTTGACATGTTAAGTAATTCTACAGTCTACATCTGAGCAAGGAGGCTGTGTTGGTTATTGTTGTGTTTTATTATTACTTTTAACTCACAGTTGCTTGTGTGTCTGTAGTTGTTGTGTACATAGAATCACAGAAAGTGAGGGGAATGGAGTAACTGCAGACTGACAGGAATGTTGAATTCAAATGTCTCCCTGCAGGCTTGTAGGAAGTGACAGTGGAATATGCAAAAAAAAAAAAACAGCAAGAAATTCACAATAATGAATGAATAAAACAAGAAATTCATAACTTTTTCTTCATAATTGTGTCAGCTAAACTGAAAGGCGATAGTATTCCTTCTGGTCCCATTATGACGATATCAGTTCTGTGAGCCCCCCACTGAAACTGTTCATGAATGCTTTATGCACCTAATGGCACCCTGATCTATTTTCTAACCATTACCCTCCACCAGTTTCAATGGGTGCTGACAGCCATTCTCCACTTCCAGGGTGTGAAATTAGCTGCAGAAATTACAACTAACGGCCGCGGCACTCTCAGCAACCGCCGGCGAGAAACTATTCCGGATCCAGACTTCCGCATCGTAGGACCGGGAGAATAAAGGGCTAACTGAACTATAGGTTATCGTGGGTAGGGATCAACCACTGGGCCATAAGCAGTGTGGAGGAGTGTGCATGCATACACACCAAAAATCAATCTGCTTCGGGTTCACGGCAGGGTCACCGCAGGATAAATTCACGCCAAACGACACTTCCCCGTCTTCCTAGCCTCCAGATGAGAGAACATCGCCAATGAATAAAAGTTTGAAGCACTTAGAGGTTATCTCACCAACCTAACCCTAGGGGGGGACATAGCCGGGAGATGCCGCTTCATCATACTGTTGCCGTGACAACGGAATAAAAGGTGGGCCGGTGATGGTGTGCGGATATGAAGGCAGGTCTTGGGGTGACGGCAATCATGGCGTTTGTTTGGGGGGAAGGAGTGTTTTGATTGGATGATGGAGGGAAACTCGGCTTGTTTTTGATTGGCCGTGTCATTCATTAGGCACAGGGTGAACTGTGGTGTTTGGATACAGAAGAGCTCCATGATAGTGTCAGTACAGTATTGGGGGATGTTAATGAGACCTGTATCCTCACTGCTGTCGCCTCGTTCCATCCCTGTCACCCTTGGTTGAGTCTGCTGCAGCTAGAAATCCTTCAGTTGATGTAAAATGCGACAAGATAAAGCTTCAGGGTTTCCATTGACTTTCACGTCAGGTGCAGAAGTATTAGCATCAGGCAGAAATGGTTATACATGTAGTATGTTCAATATGTGTATCAGTTACGTCTTAGGCAAATGTACAGCAGCAATGTTTTTATTTCTGTCATTTCTGTACCCTTCCCACATTGGAAACCATGCATGTACATGTAGTCTCTGTAGGTTGCGTCATGCAATATAGGAAATTCTGCCTTTTCATGTGAATTGTAACCATCCCTCTCAAAACAACAACAGTACTTAAACTTGAGCTGAATTTTTGTTTTGTTTGTAAGCACCCCCTGCAGCTTATAACATGTATCATCCAGGCACCGTTCTGTGATGGAGGTCACTGACCTCATCAACACCAGTAAGATGGGTGTGCCAGCCTGGATGCCCTCCCAGTTTAGGCGGTAATTATCCATAAAAAAATCAACTCTGCTCATGCACCGTACACGCTCTCCTGGGAGCGAGCTTTCGCCAGGGTTTCCTTGTGAAACCAGGCGGTTGTGAAATTCCCTGGGAATTAATGATGCTGAGAGTTTGTCGGGAAGGTTTTACTGGCTGGTGGGTACAGTTGATGGTATGGCTGGTGGTTCGATGGAGGGATTCTGTAAGCAGTTTTCTATGGGGACGGAACACATTACTGTCTTCCTCCTAGAAATAAAAAAAGAACTGGGCACGGGAAGACTACTTTGATATCATGACTTTGTAATGGTTTTGGAAATAAATCATAAAATTGTATTTTGTTGAATGTTACTGCATATTTTGTGATGGTCTGTTGTAGACATAATGAATTTCTTATACAATTTGGTCATGTAAACTGCAGATTGTCAACGTTAGCCTGTCAGCGACAAATGAGATTAATTTCCGGTAGATTTCATTTCAGGTTTGCAGAATTCAATCGGCACGTCCTCGGACGTTAGCATAGGGTTAAGAGATGAGTGTTGACCTTGACCTTCCCCCCTCAGTTATGTTGTTACTGAACTGCTGCAGAGTGACCTGCACAAGATCATCGTTTCCCCACAGCCCCTCAGCTCCGATCATGTCAAGGTCTTCCTCTACCAGATCCTCAGAGGTGAGCTTCTTCACTATACACGGCTGTATTAGCGACTGTAATAAAGTTTCCCATTACCTGTATAAAGGGCAGCCTTGGGGAATAGGAAGATGTGTATACGAGCGATTGCTGTGACGTCACGGCCGGCGAGTGGTAGGCAAAAAGCGGGTGGTAATTGGGTGATTTGTGTTCCAATAATTTGCATATGCCTAACAATAATTGATTTAAAAAAAAAACAGATTGCTCATACACATGTGTTATACAGGGACAATTTTTTTACATGATTCAGGTAACAAAAGTGGATGCTTTTATGTGTTTACAGTCTCAGAATATATAAGAACTAAAAGGCTAGTATTTCATGATGGTTGTGTGTAATACTTCTTTTATTACGAGAATTATAGCAGTGTTTTTAAAAGTTCAGGGATAATGATTTTGACTTTATCAAAATACCATAGAAATAAGTTATAGCTTTATACCCGTCAAATTGATCTTAATGTATCTACAGATTGCTAGCCTATAGCTAGGCTTTTTCATCGTAGTAGGTGTAAATATATTTAATTCTGATTGTACAATCTGTAATATCAACCATGGGTTGAGTGATGTAGTGCTGGGTAGCAATAATTTTCTACCACTGGAAGATCTATCTGAATTAGAGGAAGGCAGAGAAGAAGAAAATGAAGTACTTTACATGCAGAGTGTGTCCTCTCACAACCAAGAGCTGTCTGACTGTGAGAGATGGTGTGCATACACGTGTGAATATTCCTAGCCTACCACACCAAGCGTTTTGAGGTGGAAGCATCGGTAAAACTGTCCCATCCATTGTAGGGCCAAAGTTGTCGATTCCCCGTGTCCTGGTAAATCTATATCACTTCCAGTGTGCATTAGGCACAGGAGATATGACCACCGAGGTGCGTATCTCCCCACACGAACGCTGGGCTAATTTACTGTACCGTTCCCAGGGGCACCCACATATCGTGGTCATGGACCAGATCACTGCAGATAGCACAGGTACTGCAGCAGCAAATAAAATATTTAACATTTCAAATACTGGTCCGACAGAAGATTGGGGTATTTCAAGCAGATGTCTTTATTAGATATTAGATATTAGAAACAGTGAGGGAAGAAAGAGAGATGTATTCAATCTGTTTGATGGATGTGGGAAGAAAGGGTTGGGTCTTTAGGCACCTTTATGTGCTCTCGTTTCTGTCACAATTACATCTCGTAGTCAAGATTAATGGTGGAAAAGATAGGTCAAGTCAGCAAGGCTTTCAGTTCTGAGCTGCCCCCCTCCCCTCCCCAGCCTTATCAGCTAGGATGCAGATCCAGGTATCTTCCAGGAGGTAAAGGGAATTTGTACTAAGAGGATGTTTATCACGAAAACCTCCTGTGTATCATGGTTATCAATGCATCTTTTTGTTAAAAAATGTACAGTGCATCATGGTGCTTTTGTTTAGTGTGAAATGTAGCTCGCAAAACAGCTCAATTTGATGCAAATTTGATATCAAGGTATTATTAAAGGATTTAATCAATATGTGTTAGGAAGGAAAGGAGAATTTTCAGACATAACACGAAAATATACCTACTCATAATACATAACTCAGTTATGACAGAAAGATAATGAATAAAAAAGATATTACTGTGACTGTGAGGGCAATTAATCTTTGCAATCCACTGTTTAAATTAAAGAAAGATTTCACAATGCCTGACGGATGGTTTAAAAATATCATAGATACTGCATTTGAAATCTTAGTCACCAACCACCACAAACTACTACCACCATACACCTTCCTAGATACTGTATGTGTCTTACATTGCATTTGATATGGATATGCTATATTTGCACCAGATAGTCCAGTGTAGTCATCACTTTACTGACTAAGACTTCCCTGTTTTGTCCAGGTCTGAAGTACCTCCACTCTGCAGGCATCTTACACAGGGACATCAAGCCTGGGAACCTGCTGGTCAACAGTAACTGTATTCTTAAGGTAACCAAATATTCCTAAAACCATGTACTCGTGCAGGTAACATTGAAAATACCTGCACAAGACAAATTTTACCAGCACCAATCAGAATTTAAGTAGTATGGATCATACTAATAACTGTTTCAAACCATTTCCATTATTATTATTTTTTTTAAATGCCTCATAGGTGGTGAAAGTCAATGCAGCAAATAAAAATCCACATGCACCAGTGCAGGTTAGGTGCAGGTAGACATGAGAAATACCTGCATAGCTCCAATTTTACCTGCACTAACCTGCATATGCATATGTGGTATTTCGAGCCCTGACAGATAACAGCATTGCTAACACTTTTGGTGCCTGTCCGGAATTGTGGGTCAAATGTGAATGACAAGGGAGAGATATGCAGGCCTGCTTGGAGGATGTCAGTTTTATTGATCATTTGCTTGACCCCATTTTCCTTGACTGAGACCAATCATGGCCAGGCAGGGAGGGCGCCGTGTAATTTTGAATTATTCTCCTTTTGTTCAATACCAGCCGTTAGGGGCTCCTTAATTGATATATACCAATCAACTTCTGCCAGTGGATGTATAAGGCCCGATTTAGACTAGAAACGCTTAAGGGGTTTTGGCCAGGGAAACGTTTCGGAACGGTTAACCGTTCCCGGTCTAAAGAGGAAAAAACGGTTTGTTATGGGTTTTCGCGGACCGTTTTCGAAAACCACCTCGATCGTGGTTTTCGACCGTTTCAGAACCCTTCAGCGGGGGGCCCGAAACGCTTTTTGCTAGGTCTAAAGTCAAAGGGTTTCTTGAAACGGTAAACCAGGTCACGTGTCATATGCTAATCACATGCTAATAAGCCCGCGCGTGTCCATTTTCTGGTAGATTCGCGCCATATTCGATTGTGTCCATTTTCGCCATTTTATATCGTGTATTTCTCAAATTTTCGTCATCCTTTACGTCTGGAGGGATGACAGAAGGCCAGGGGAGGGTCTGAACCCAAGAAGAGACCCGCTTCTTGCCTGATCCCGCTTGGAGACCTCGCGTAATAGGGAGGGCATACAGATGCTTGTGGACGGGCTGGCGGCTGAGGGGTATTTACGCACCCCAAAGCAGGTTCGGGCGAAGTTCAAGGCCCTGAAACACAAGTATCGTAAGGCCCGAGGCAAACCGTAGAAGTGGCTCGGGGAGGTCATCATAGGTCACTGTGGGTCAGAAACATCCTGCGCCACGGGCGGCCCGAAACGCTTCCGCCTCTGTGTCTAAAGACGAACCGTTTTCTGTGGCAAACGTTTCGTACCGTTTCGAAACGGTATACCGTTTCTAGTCTAAATCGGGCCTAAGTGTGACGTACTATTGGGAACACTGAGGCCAGACAGGGGGTTGTGTACTGACTGTTTGCACAACTCTCTTGATGCTGGAAGAACTGTAAAAACTGTTCATTCCAAAAAATAAATGTTAAAGAGCAAATGTCTTATCAGTAGATAGAAAATGGATGATGACGATCAATTTAGAAGTGTCTACAGGCTTAACCTTTTGGCACACTCGATTTCTATCCTCCTGTCATCTCCCCCTCCAATGTCATTATGACTGATGGCAAATTTGAACGACTCTAAACTTTGGCCCAATTTATACTACCAAATTTGTGGTGTGATTGCAACAATTGTGGCCCCTGCAATTAGAGCACTCAGGCACACAAGTGTCAGATTATGGCTACTGTTAATTGATTCTGATAAACTTTAAACTATTCTCCATCTCAGATGAACTTTCATGCTATCAGTAACATAATTTTTTTTCTGTGTGTGTGTGTGTTAAAAATACCCTTTCTTGAAATTCTGTAGTTGCAACTGTAATTTTTTTAAACTGATGGACAATGGGACTGGGAGGTAACTGTACTGACCAGTTACTGTGTAGCTGGAATTCCAGATATGTGATTTTTTTAATACAACATTTAATGACAAAGAGGACAAGATGAACGACATACTTAAGCTCAAGGCTTAGTCGTGTCATCATCGAACATTACAAATCAAAGCAAATACAGAAATGCAAAGCATAAGAATAACAAAATAGAATAAGGTTACAACGTATAATAACCGTGTTCCTGTGATCGTACAGATTTGCGATTTCGGCCTGGCGCGGACGGAGGAACCAGACGAGTACAAGCACATGACGCAGGAGGTCGTGACCCAGTACTACCGCTCGCCCGAGCTCCTGATGGGGACCAAACACTACAGCCAGTCCATCGATGTTTGGTCGGTGGGGTGCATCTTCGCCGAGCTGCTGGGACGACGCATCCTGTTCCAAGCACAGAGTCCCATCCAGCAGGTGTGGCCTTCTTGTTGTCATGGCAACATGGTATTTGGTAACCAATCACAGACCAGAGTAATGCATAGTTGGGATGTTTGGCGTGAAGATATTTTTTATAGAATTTAGGTCAAGTTGATCTTCAAGACTATTTGGCCTGGTATGTAAACCTATTTTAGCTACCAAGGCTCTTTCATCCTCTCTACAAATAAGATGAAAGGGGCTTAGCAGCTTAGATAGGTTTGGATACCAGGCTCATGTTTGGACTTAAAATTGGAAAGTTAGAGGGTCTAGGATTTTTTTCATGTACTTATGGGGGCTGATTCACCAATAAATTGCAAGAATGGTCTCAATGGGGAATATTTCCTTATGGCTTTTGCCCTGGGAAAACAAGTCAATGGTTTAAGAAGTACTGATTAATTTCTGCTTCCTTGGTTTAGCTGGAGCTGATCACAGACTTGTTGGGGACTCCGTCGTTGGAAGACATGAGGACTGCTTGTGATGGAGCCAAGGCCCACATGCTGCGGCAGGCCCACAAGCCGCCGGCCCTGGCCTCCCTGTACACCCTGTCCAGCCAGGCCACCCACGAAGCTGTGCACCTCCTCTGTAGGATGCTGGTCTTCAACCCAGTAAGTCAGAGAACTAAGATTCACTAACTTTATATGTTGTGAGACCCAATTTACACAAAAGTCTGATGTACAAAAGTTGCGTACACAAACACAAGCGTATGAAAACTGCATGCAACATATTTTTCCTGCACGTAAATTCCCAGGAAAAATTCAAAGTACGAGGCTTTTGTTTTGTACTTCAGCTTTCTGCCCACCAAATCTTGACATTTTTTTTCAGCCACAAATTTAAAACATAGTAAAACCTTTTTTCTGCCCTACCATAAATTAAAATCACTTCAAAAGCAAATGAATTTACAGTAATGACACATTGAATCTTGAAATCTCACATCTCAGTGACCGAAGATTATGTCAAAGCCAGTTGAATGATGTATTTTCCCTCCTTTGCAGGACAAGCGTATATCGTGTGCGGACGCCCTGACCCACCCGTACCTGGACGAGGGACGTCTGCGCTACCACACATGCATGTGCAAATGCTGCTATAACACCCCTCAGGGGCGCCAGTATACCTCAGACTTCGAGCCTATCTCTCGCCAGCTGTTTGACTGCACATGGGAGGACAGCCTGCACTCCGTACACATGGTCAAAGGTACAAACTTCTCAGCAGAAAGCATTAACAAGCAAAATGTCATTATCTTATATTTGTATGTTTTGGAGCAAAGGGTTCTTGTATCAAGTATTTTGCTTTTCACTCCATCCGCAATATATAGATGTGAATAAGATTTAAGAAAAAACTTATTAGCTGTTAAATCCAACAAAAAAACACATGATAAAATTGATATCAGGAAGATTTTTGAAACAAAGGAACATGCAAATTTACACATTATGCAAGAAGTATGATCTCTCTTGCAGTAAGGGTTATCTACTAAGATTTATGTCAGCTATGGCCTGCCAGTTAACATGCCTGTTTGTCCTTGTCATTTCCAGAGGAACTGCACAGGTTCATAGGTGAACGCCAGCGTGGAAACAAGGTGCCTCTGTGTATCAACCCCCAATCAGCAGCCTTCAAGAGTTTTGCCACGTATGTACAGTACTGATAGATGCTTGCAACCTGGTTTTACGATTTAGACATAGGGGAAATGTAAGAAAGTCCCTGACTTTGCAAAGGTACCATTGGCTGAGGAAAAAGATTTGATGTGGTAAGAAGTAAAGAAGAAAACAATGATTTCTATGCAACAAAAAGAAACAAGTAGGGTGGTAACTTTCTTAAAAACACAGGGATGTTGAGGTGGGAATGTATATCCCCCTAGGAATATACTGTAGTACTGCAGGTGATGTGAGAAAATTAGCATCATTGATTAGATCCTACATCAGGTTTCATTGTTGCAAAAAATGAAGTCCATTTTTTTGTTTTAGGAGTTTTCATACTATGTCATTTTGACTAATTTTGTAAATATAGTCATTCCAGCAAATGAGATTTTAGGGTCCTGTCACCTTGTTTATCTGTTAACCATCACTTGAAATACTTTGCAATACCAGAAAGTTCTAAATCAGTGACTTCTGGACAAATGATGTTTGCCTTATATTTTTCAGGTAGCTTTTGCACTTAACCATGATCGCTTTTTTTTTGCTTATTTAAAACCCAACATAGACATTATGCAGATCCTGGTTTTCATGATGTCAGCCTGCTTTGAAAAATTTCAACTTTTCCTGCCCCCCCTCCCCTTGCTGCAAAAGTTCCCTGGTTTTGCTTCTCCTTAGTTCAACGCAAAGAAAGCCATCGCTGTAGCACTCGATGGAGGAAGCATATTTCCTCCCGTGACTCTTTCAAAAGTTGTTGACAAAACATTTTGTTTGGTTGCAGCTTGAAGACCAGATGATCAACTCGGGCAAGATTTTCGGTGTGTTGTTCGAAACATTCTATCTTGTCTAGCACCACCTGTGAGAAAGTCCTGGGCTGGAAGTGTTTTGTGATCAGTTGCTTTGTGGTTCTGTTCTGTTTTCCCCATGTCTATGTTGTCCGTACTTCTTGCTAAACATTCAAGACATGATTTTTTTTTCACCTGCCAAAATTGCTATGCAGAAATGGAGGAGTATTTCCTTTTTGCCCAGTAAGATAACAATATCGATGGTTTCAGAAAAGGTGACAGGACTTGAAGTCGCTCTGTGATATTTTGTCAGTCGATCTGTCATGTGATGAACTTGCAGTTGTAAGACTTTCCTCTGGAACCAATGAGAATCTGCAGTCTTGCTCATGACTGTTTCTAAGCCGTGCAGTTGCTCCAGATAGATTGTGTCCAACCCCCAAAAATAGTTTTTACAACTGTAACCTTCTGAAGATATTCTTTAACTTGCATTTCAGAAGTGGCAATAGATTTCACCACATCATCTTTAATATGGAGTTGAAGAAATGGCTCAGAATGTAGAAATGATTCAGAAAGCCTTCAGTGGGCCATAATAGCAAACAAGCAAAGCACAAGCATTTTCCCCCATTTCAGCACATGTGGTCCTCAATATAGACCTCCATATCGGTCCTTGATAAAAGCTTTACTTCAGAATACAGCTCATCCCAAGTCCCTACTCAACATGGCCCACTAACCACAACTTTGGCCTTGATATGACATGAAAAGAAAATACCAAGGTTTGATTTTAAAATTTCTGATGGAGTAGGGTGTACTTTTAGCAAGAGCAGTAAGTGTAAGCAGGCAAATGTGCTACATATCAGATGTGTTGCCATTGTCAATGTTGCTGTTTTGCTGTGTAAGATTGACTATGCAGGAGGACTTGTGCATTTGGTCTGCTTCTCGTGTGCCACATACAATTCATAAAAAAACATCTGTAAAAAAAAGCTGACTTTGATATTTGTCAAGTTCAAACTACAATTAATGAGAAGCCAGTAGAAATGGGCAAAACTCCTGTGTAGCCAATAGTTCATCTTTACTATGTCTATCCTGCAGCACTCCATGTTGTACAGAATTTTCAGGTTGAGCCATGTTGACGTCTTATTCAGTATTGTACAATGTATTATGTTTTGTTGCCCGTCCAGGTCTTCAGTTGCCCAGCCAGCAGAGCTTCCGCCATCACCAGTTGCCTGGGAGTGACCCCTGACCCTACACACCACGTGGAAACAGCCCAGCATCACATGCCCCCCTCCCACCCTCCCCACATGCTTCCATCAGGACAGACACAGTGCCAACCACCATGCCCAAACATGCCGATATGATCAACTCTCTTTTAGACTTGTGTACTATAAATTTTAGGACTGTTGTTTGCTCAGCATTGTATATACCCCCATTCCCATGTTGTTGTCATGCCACAGCCATGTGCCTGTGTGAAATGTGTACTAGGATGAAGAGAAGGTAGTTTATCAGAAAGGTACTAGTAGCTGTATCCTCTTTATCTCTCAAGAGAGTTTAGGACCATCAAACCCCTTCAGATTTGTTTGAACCAAATGCCAAATCCAGCTACATTTTCCCAGGCATGGGCATGTTTGCAGTTAAAGAGGCCTACAGAGCCTGGCTTGATGGAACATTTCTCATGTTTACTGAAGGCTGATGAAGATTAAGATAGAAGTCAGACAGATGTTGGTGAACTGAACTGATGTTGCAGTGATTTTCAGCAGAGATGTGCACATACACACACAACAAGGAACATTCAAACAAGCTCGGACAAGACACACATCTGCTGCTGCAAAACTCTGTTTCCCCGACATCTTTGTTTTTCGATTTCAAATGGTGCTTTAAATTGAGATAGTCTTGGATTTTCGTGTGTAAACCATGACTTTACTATTGTATCAGCCATTGGGACCGTGCTGTGGGAAATATGGCTCCACCTGTACGTTATTTATTCCCATAGCCCCGAGTTAGTTGTTTTTTTCACTGTGTGGTGGCAATTATTTTAGAGGAAGTCAGTTCCCAATGCAGGGTATGGTGCAAACTGGATCCTAATCATGCTACAATGATAGCCCTCTCCATTTGCAGATCAAGTACTAGTAATCAAATGGTGAAGAAAAGAATGTTGTCAAAGCTCTGTTACATTTTACAAAAGTCTTATTAAAGTTATCAAGGCCAGTGGTAATCCTCAAGCACTAGAGCTGTTATATGGTAGATTGTACAGTTGAACACAGAAACCATGCTTCATGATCCTTGCCTTTGTATAAGAACAAGTGCTCCATGTTCTTTGCATGTGTGACAGCCAGGTATACATGAACATATTGGACATCCCATGGCTTTTAGACGTTTTATCTGATAACCCATGCATGACTGCTGTTCTCTGAGGACCCCAACTGATCACATGATCAAAAGAGATGGCCATTGTATTACAATGCATTGCCGGTAGTTTGAGGCCAACGCAAACATCAAAATACTCAAATGTGCACCTCTCAGAAAATGACACTGAAAGCTGTCATTTTAGAAGGCACTTGGTTAGAGTGTTGGATGCTTGCTACTTTCTTCACAGAGCACAGCAGCCATGTATAGAAGCATCAGATGGAAGTACTGGAAACATAGGGAACTCTGTATATCCATTTCTTCATGTAAAATCTGCTGAGAGCCTTGTTGATGACATTAGAGCCATCTGGATTGTGAGAAGAGCCATGCCTACTGCCAACCCTAACTATGCATGTGTTCCTCCCCTCTTACAAACAAATCTTGCACAAAGAAACAGCCAGTGAAAGATATTGTACAAAGTTATGCTTCTTTTTAAGCAATAAGGTATGGGAATATCCAACCCCGTAGAGATGATGTTTTTCTGCCATGTAGATAGGGTACCATGTACATCCAAATAGGCAGGAAGCAGGGGTGTTCTTAGACTTAACTCTAGTGTTCAACCAGTGTTACTAGCATGTTGTAGATGTTACAGTACCATAGTTGTCACATAAATGCCTGTAAATTCCTTGTGAAGTGTGATAGTGTTTAGCTAGGCTGAATTGCTTTTATTTCTTTGTTAGATTTTTTAAAAGCAGCACATACTTGTGAAACGGCACACTGTTTGTGTCTTTTTAAAAGCTGCCATCTTGTTTTTTTGATACCTTGTCTCATGTAGCCTTAGCACTAACAAGTTGTTGATGTTTGTACAGTAGATCTATTGATGAGAAGATCAGACAGAAAAAAATATTTCCTGTGAAAAAAATGAATACAATTGGTGATAGTTGCTAGTATAGGAAAATCAGTGCAAGAACAAAATGTCCAATATCTGTGGTCAGTTGCAATGGCCAGGGTGGTTGGGCAGTAGCTGTACAAACGCTCGAGCCACCAGACCAGTGGGTAGCAACTGTGTGGACTTAATTTATTTATTGTGGACATGTCCAGATAGGGACATAGTGGCAGTTATCTTTGTCATTAATATTCTCAGCCGAGATGATGCCATGAAGACCCAGGTAGCAGTGAGACCATGTAGTGCTGGCATCAGGCTTTGTAAATGTTCAGGGGACTGTACAGATTGAAGTAAAATTTTAAATGTGTCTCAACTCTGTTGTCTTTCTTCATTCTTTGCTTTGTCTCAGGACATGGAAAATATGATCTGCTTGGAGATTAGGAAAATAGAACTCAATGGGAAGAGACTACAAGTACAAGTACTAGTATTCTCTATATACTGGCCCTATTTTTGCAGAATTCTGTTGTCCATAGAGTATTACAAGCAGGGGGACCGTTAGAAATAAGGCCAACGGTCTCGGAAAGACATGGGCCGGCCAGTCCGTGACGGGAACACCCCAACCCCTGCAGCAGCCTACTGACCCAATTTTGGCTGTGCCTGCATGATAACTGAGTAATAGCAGCATCAATCCTTCCTTCACCATAATGTAACCATGTCCTAGATGATGAGAGGTATATGGTGCTTCCAGGGCCCGGGGGACACATCCAGGGATATATCCCAGTCCATTATTCTGTCGGGCCACGTTATGACCACTGTGGTTTGCTAAAGGATGTGTCTGTCATACATGTATGGATGAAACTTGCTAACGCACGAATGGGATATATTTCCTCACTGTACATCAATTTTCTACGATGAGTAAGTAAAATGGAATACCATTTACCTTTGACAGTGTGACAATAGTTAACATGAAAGCATATAGAGTAGACCGAAAGCATTTTTGTTGTTAAGGGTCAGAGTATCGAGGGTTTTATGAGGGAAATTGGCAAATGTAGGTTACTGAAAACCTGCAGCCGTGAGGAGAGCACTCCTATAAATGATTCTTGATTAGACTATGTCGATCATTATCACTCATTTTCAGTTTGACGCAAGGGTTGGTGATCATAAAAGAACATGGTAGAAGAGTCCTTGTGCAAAGGAGACTGCTTCAATTATTATAATACCAGTAAGGTGTAAACGTCAGACTAACTCCAACGGCACGCAATACCCCAACGTAGGGACGGAGAGAGTCTAGGGAGCCGAAGAGAGCGCACTTAATCCACGATGGGATTAGGTTGCAAAGTTAGAAGGTGAATGCATGATCAAAAGCGGCCTCAAGCAGTTCAATGAAGAACTGCACAATGTTGGCTAAGCTGAACCATTATGATTATCATTGCATTGCTGCAAATATTTTTGCCGCTATGGGGCGTTTTGATCCACAGCGATTTCAACACCAGGCATGGTATCCCAAACCAAATCCCATGACTAAAACTAGAAATTTGCCTCGAGTTTCCCTAAGTTGGCTATTAATGGCAATGATCGACGGCTTTCAGAAGAAACTTGTGTCAACAATATTTCCTCGGTGAAATGCATATTGAAAGCGGCCTCTAGCAGTTCTATTTTGTGATGAAACCTGCACACATCGATCTGAGTTCCAACTTTCAAGTTATCTGTGTTTTAAAGTTGACAAAAAGAGAGAAAGGAATAAAACCCCGTAAAAAGTTGCAGATTCCAATTAACACCGCTTACCACTTTTGTAAGGTTTCAAATATCAAAGAACATGTGAAAGAACAAAAAGAAACAATTTGATGTTTGGTATAACGCCACCATGCTCTGCCATTCGGTCAACGTTCCTGACCACTTTTTTTTTTATAAAAAATTCAAAATGAAGGCAACTTTTTTGGCTGAGCTTTTTCTTTTGTTACACGCTCACATTAGTTTCGGAGTGCTCAGGCGGCATGTCATCCATATAAATCAAATCTCACGGTATGGCCTAAACCCGAAAGGCCAAGGAAAGCGTAAAAGCCATTCAAGTGTGGAATCACAAGGCCACGGCTTTATTTCTGACATTTGAAAAACCAAAGTCTGTATTGGACGTCCTTGATCTGACGTCTCCCTTGGGGCAAGCGGATCAGTCTGTGAGGAAATGGCCTTTGTAAAAAATCATTTGCCGTCTTAAGTTAGGGTGTTTCCTTCTAACCTCCCAATAAGGTTGTCATGGGTCTTGGTTTTAAAGGAACGTGACGCGCGCACCTTGCAATGACGCAACTACACCCGCGCACTGACTCATTTGGGTCCATTTATTATTCAAAGGGGGGTCTGTGATTTTTCTAGTTCACTTTAACTTCAAACAAAATTAAGTTAAAGAAATACTGAACCTAATACATTATTTAAAAAGTAGTCAAATTTATTTTTATTACTATTAAATACACGTAGCTTCATTTGGCGTAAACTTATTCTAGGTAATAGTACGGTTAATTTCAAAACACCCCTATTTAATTATGGTACAGCCTATGATGTTCTTGGAGGTCCGACATCCGGGGATTGCGTGACCCACATGACGTCATACCCGGCGTCCCGCCCCATGTGAGACTAGTCAAGATGGTGCTGATCAGGGAGTTGTAAGTATCGGACTTTAACTCCGCATTTTAACCCCTCTTCCCGTCTTTTACCGGCGACTATTTCGGACCAAAGTTAACACAACATTTCCCAGAGACTATTAACCCTTCATGTGTCGTTTAGAGTGTAGAATTGTGTGAGGAATCGAGACGTGTTTTGGGAGATGTTTTTCGCTTCCGTTCCGATTCACACCTATGTCGGCTCGTATGTTATGTGACGGTATCTAGGATAAAAATCGCACCTCGACATCACGTAGTAGTACTCGTTTTTTTCCACACCATGGATGTTCAACTAAATCTGTAACTTTTCCCTTTCTCTACAGCCGTGTTTATCTACCGATTACCGTTCCAGAGGTACGTCACGTTCTTTCACAATTTGTTGAAAATTTTTCCTATCTGAACTTTCTCTTTTAAAATTTTCCACTCGGTATGTTCCGCTATATATTGTGTGATTCACCCTCGCCCCCCTCCCCCAAAGACGTGAAATCTTTATCTTTGGACTTTGAGCCAGTGAGATCGGATGGTATCAAACTATGTTTAAAGAGACGTAGAAAATAGGGGTGTCAGCTGTCAAATGAAGAAATAAAGTTATTGTAAACAGATTACAGTTCATTATGAAGATGTCACCATGTCAGTCTTAATTATAGCGTGTGACACAATAGAAAAAGGTGATCATGATATACTTCAGTTAGCCTGGGTGCCAGACTGTTTTCAGGGCCTACACCAGCTAGCTCATCAACTTTAGGGCCAAGTCCCCCCCCCCCCATACCGTCTTGCATGGGGAACTCTGATGGGGAGGGGGTAAAATTTCCTTCAGTGTTCAAGTATGTTGGCCCGAGAGGCGAGAGCCTAGGATCTTGCCTGTGAAGGCCCTGGAAACAGTCTAAGCTTCAGTTGAATAGAATGAATGATTACATGTAGGTGTGTTGCATCAAGGTGACCCTTGATCAGCACACACTTTGTTCATATAGATAACAGGCCTTTGGTTTATGGGCGAACGATGATTAAGTGTAGAAAGTTGGAACTGGACCTCCCGTTTTGTACGGGTTGGTTGGTTGGTACAGGCTGGGTAAGGAGCTGATTGTTTCAGCCAATATATCACACACCTGTTCTCCAAGCTCTTACGACAAGTGTCATGGTCTCATGGACCTTTGTGCTGTCCCCACCAATTTTTAAGATCCATGACCTTAATTTTGAAAAAAAAACAAAAAACATAGCATCACTGCTTTATTCTTAATCTTAGAGAAGAAGTTTATCCCAGGAAGCATAATTCCTTGCCTGAGAAGTCCTTTGTTTTGATTCTAGTATACAGATAAGGTACTGGTTATGTGATTGTAACATGGCTCATGTCATACTTGTGGCAAGTGCTGCGGCGTGATAGTACTTGCTTTGCCTCAAAAAAGGCAGAGACAGAAAGTGTATAGACTATAGGATGTGTGCTTGGATATGGCTGATATGAATGTGCAACTGTGCAAATACATGTATGGGAATAGTATAATAGTTTATTATACTATTACCTGACATGACCTGATACAGCTCCATTGTTACCCTGCTATGTCATGTTCTTGTTGACTAAATTTGTAATGTGTAACATGCATCATTTACAAGGACATCAGTGGTTTATTCAGTTGGAAAGGATTTTTAGAGACTTCTTGGTGTGCAATTTGATATGTCATTAGTGGAGTTTCATCAGCAAAATGGACACTACAGAGTACAGTACAGTACGGATTTAAGTATATAAAGGTTACATTTTGGAGAAAGCTTCAACTCTCCTATTACAAACTAAAATGTACGATATGTCCCGAGCCATGTGATCTTATTTGTCATTGACACCTCCTTTGTACTAGAGGCTGCCACCACCGATTGACCAAACATATGGCAGGTTACTTAAGAAATTTCTCACATGAAGTACAGATCTTCTACATTTTGTATGTCCTTTTGTCATTACTTTAAATACTATAAAACCAAGGATCACACAAATCTAATTTTGGTGATTGCTGTCAAGTGGAAAGGGGGCGAGACTAAAGCCAATTTACTCTCAGTGTACAGTTCTTTTTAGATTGTAAAAACGTCTGCATTATCCCCCCTGGTAATGTGTGCAACTGACAATTGACCTCATTCATCAGTTTCTTTCTGTGTTGTCGTTAGCGCTAAGCATGAAGGTCACACTGTATTGGAGATTGATGGTTATTTTTGCCTGTGCCCAGCTGCTACCACCTGTATTATTAGACCAGGGAAATTCTATGTGCACCAAGCGCTAGAATGGATGGACTTTTACATATAGCTGTGTTTGATCTAAGCCCGGACCTGCTACAAGAGCTTTTTCCACTTAACTGTAAATATTGAAATGTTTGTGGTGGTTTCATCTTTATGGTGACCTCTTCATTGTGAATTCATGAGTGTGAATATGCATTTCCAATGCATTACTACTGTACTATTGAATTGTTTGAACCGCAAACTCAGAACATTCCAAAAACCTCATTTCCCCCTCTATCATAAAAACAATTGAATTTAAAATAGTGTACATACAGATAGATCTAAGGGGACAAATGTCTGTACAAGAATACAAATATATCCAATACAGAGTGTATTCAAATGTGCTTTTGTCTGTTTCAAAATATTAGTCACAATGTGATGGTTGTTTGAGGTTGGGTACTACATGGTGCCAGCAGCAATTATAAATAATTCTGCATGACCATGCCTGTTGTGTACATAAATATCACCAAATTCTGCCCATGTGACATGGACAATTTACAAGTCACATCTTGAGGCGTGTTTGAAGTTTCTCACACAGTTGAATGAACTGTGGTGATTAAGTGTATATTATAGATTGGATTTCCCAACATACTGTTTGTCACCATTGTGAGACAGCAGCTCCCTTCTGTGTAATCCATCATGACTCCTGTGTAATCACTCAACCATCTTTAGCCTTATCATTCAAAACAGAATTTTAGAAACCTGGGGCTTGAAAATTCAGGAGTCAACATGCCCAGAGTTGTTTTCCCATTCACTGATTTTCAGAGTGTATAATTCTAGACTCAATTGAACGTCATCCCACCACTTCTCCTGTGACTTTATTGATTTTTCTGCCATTCCAAGGTCGCCAGTACTAACTAAGGACTCAGAACCTCTCTATGAAGTACTCATTTGGTTGAAATGAATGACCCTGTATGGGTCATATCTGTACTGAAACAAAATCCACAATGCTAGCCAGCTAAGGTAGCTGTTTTTGGCACCAAATTGGTTACCTGGTTAGGCAGCAGGGAGAAGGTTAAATCCTGATATTTCTGTCATACATGTATATATTGTATATACTATGTAGACCTCAGGATGCCAGAGATTCAAGATTTTCATGAAAGGGCAGTGTATGATGTAGCAAAACATACCATGAATTTTGAAATACTCACTGTGGGTTTATTTTCACGTTGACCTCTTTCCATGAAATCATGACACCGCAAAATAGTGTTTTGTAGTTCTACTGTACTTCTGATACTCATCAGTGATAGAATTATTGAACCACATCCCACCAACTGCCAAATTCAGTCCCCTTGAAAACAAGCAAATTTATATCACAGAAAATGGGATAAATCACACATTTTAAAAGAATATGCATTGTGTAGAAATGTTGCCAAAAAAATAAGTATATTAACTTAAGTGCATGCTTGACATTGATGCATATAGCGTGCTCTGTATCTGTATAGGTATAGCTAGTACTCATTACATAGTTGCCTGATGCAAAATTGCCTATTTTCCCCATTGTAATTCTGTTGTATTGTGTGTTATAGATGTACCTCTGCCTTGTGAGCAAGTTTATGTTGCATGTACATACATGTCGTCCTTAATTAGGAACATCTGTTGGGCCAGATTGTGATCACTCTGTTGTAAAGAATTTAAGAATAATATATCTTTTTATTGTTAGTATAATATCTTTGGAAATGTATCATCCCAACATTTTCAGTGCTTTCATTACAAGAATTTAGGTGTGTGAGGAATTTAGATGTTTGAAAGTTCAACAGAGGAAATCCTGTTAATGACTTCTATATCCAATAGACTTACAAATAACTTATTAAGATACTGTTGCTTCAGTCACTCGCTGCTTATATGAAGGATATGCATGTACAGTGTATATCACACTGTCATACTTGTGTAATCATGGGGTTCATTGGGGTATGTCATTTTCCACTGAACAATTTGTTTGCATTGTTCATGCCATTGTTAGTCTGGATAGTGACACCTTCATTTGAAATGTCAGAATGAAGATTTTCTCATTTTTCAGAAGCATGCTTGATGGACTTCAGCTCTTGTAATACCCAATTCGTCTTGTAATTATTTGGTCCCACTTGTTATGTACTGGTATTTTGAGCTACATGGATTTAAAATCTACAGAACTTCGAGCTCGAATAGTAATCTGATGCTGAAAGTGTGGTACAAGAAATAGTTGTGGTACAAGATACAGTTTGTAGTATAGTTGAAACGCAGTTTGCGGCGTCATAATTTCCAGTAGAGAGGCCCCCGTGAAGATTAAGCCCCGCCACAAACATTTCAAGACTTACAGTTCCTGTATCATACGTCTGAATCTTAATACATTTGTAATTATAGATAAGCTACAAAGGGTTAAAAGGTGTCATGGTTCATAGAAAGAAAAACGTTCTTTGCATGATCATGAGAATAATGTGTTGTATATTGTTGTTGGTTCAGTACCAAGTCGGCCAGTTATGGTCTGTGGCAGAGGCGAGCAAGAACGAGACGGGGGGAGGCGAGGGCGTGGAGGTTCTCATCAATGAGCCGTTTGAGAATGAGGAGATGGGGAAGGGACAGTACACTCACAAGATCTACCATCTCAAAAGGTAGGAGTTCGCAAGATTTTGTCCTTTTTTTACCTCCAGGTATGAAGGTGTTGTTTTGGGTGGGTTTGTTTGTGGGTTTGTATGTATGTTTGTAGCATAGATGGTTGCAGGGAGAGTGGGGAGATATTTAGTTACAGTTGATTGACAGGGAGTTTAAGCCCGAAAGTGACCCAGTGCTGGGTGGGAGTCATTGGGCAGTATGTGGAGGAATGCAGGAAGTGATTTGTAATACCTGATTAAATTACATCATGCGATCCCTTCCTCAATTACAATACATTTCTGGAGGTTTGAAGTCTCTGATTTCTTGTTTTGTCTTGTTTTAATTAAATGCATGCTGGACTATGAACATGTAAGAATTGAAGAATATGTCCACACTACAGGCAATGAACCTGATAAGTCCATCCACTGTAAGACTATGTTGACGTGTATTGTTCTTGCTTGTTCCTATCTTTACAGTAAAGTTCCTAAGTGGATATCTAAGTTAGCACCCAAGGGATCATTAGAAATGCACGAGAAGGCGTGGAATGCTTATCCCTACTGTAGGACCGGTGAGTGTATAATGATTCTTTTATTTTGTAACGGCATAAAGTGCATCCTATTGTTGTTCATCTACCAATAGTAGGAATAGAATAAAACATTATTAAACAATCATTAGCAGTGAAATGCCTTGAATACTGTACAGTATACATACCAAAAACGAGTGTAACAGTTCTATAACTTTGAGTATAAGGAAATCTTAAGTCTTCAAATTAAAGCTGTAGTGGCTTCAAGTATAGATGAAAATAACCTGCACAGACACACGATTGGGATGTTTTGTATATCTTGTAGGTTGATTTTCATACATGGTACGTATCTATCTTACATATTTACTGAATGTACAGAAAGAACACAAAGGAGCCGGAACCACATATCTGCTTGGAAACGTGATTTGTATTCAACCTTTTTTGAAACTAAATGTGCCTTGTTTTTTTTTCCCTGTTATGTCTGCATTCACCAACAGTCATCACAGTGAGTACCTTTGACCTTGACTTTACCCAAACATGTTCATTAGATTATCATCAGAAATACAACTTCTGTTGTCCTGTAATTTCTGCTAATGTGTTGTCAACAAATTTCGCTATGTTGTGTCTAGTTGTAAATCTATGATGGACATAAACTTTGTTGTAAAAGTTGCGTGTTTGAACTGATTTTCATGAGTGCGTGTTTTTTGAGTGTTCAGCACTGAGGTGTGGTGCTTTATTTCTGCAGAATCCGGACTATATGAAAGAAAATTTCGAGCTGAGGATCGAGACGTGGCACAAAAAGGAGTTGAACCTAGAAAATGTAAGGAATCTGCTAATGCCTTTAACAGTTTCTGACAATTATAGCAGCTGAAGAAAATCCATTAGTACTGAGTTCAATAGCCTCATAGAAATATACTGATAGCATTCTAGATCATATTAGTATATCCAGATCATTTTTATGCACAGTTTTGTTCTTGTATGTATTGTTGCATGCTACTTGCATTGTTCGTGTGTACATGTATGTACCCAGGGCCACTCTAAAAAGCAGTGCCCAGTCACTGATAAAATAACACAACAAAATATCCTGGTAAATTAACACAAACAGAAATTATTAATAAACAAAGCCTCCTGTTTTGTTGTCAGCCCCACAATCTGCCGCCCGAGGTGTGGAGAAATGTGGAGAAAGTGGACATTGACATTGGGAACGACCCCGTGGACAGGAGAGACTACAACCCGAAGGAGGACCCCTCTGTCTACCACTCCTTCAAAACTGGCAGGGGGCCTCTCAAGGGGGACTGGATAGTAAGTCCTGCTTTGGTTGTAGTGTGATAACTGTTAGGAATTTTCCCTCAATGATGTGGCAGCAATTTGAAAAAAAGTTTCTTTATTCTCTATTTGTTTGGTATAAATAAAATCTTAGACATGCTAAAGGCTATGGTCCCTCTCTTTAAAAACTTAAAAACATGGCATTGCACTCTTTGAATTTGAAAGGTGAAACGATTATCTACTACGGTAAATGGTGAATCTTTTGCGCTGATTTGGTATAATATATAACACATTAACTATATTTCTAAGTTCTGACAAACTATAACAAATGAATAGACTGTTTCTTGGTGTGTGTTCTTTCCTGGACTCCACATTTTGTACAAATGAATGATAGTTTTGAATTCTATATTGTAGTATACACAATACAACTTGCATGTGGGTAGCCTCTGTGCCTATTGTGTGGTGTTGGTACATATGGATAGATAATTGTGAATTTTACAATGTGTACTGTGCATGTTGGTGGCTTTGGTGTTATTTTCTGGTGTTGGTACATCTTGTTTCTTTATTGCTCATTTTTGCAGAAGAAGCTGGGGAATGAGGTAACAACTGCTGCTTCAACCTTTCACAAACAAACAAACAAACAAACAACAAACAAACAAAGCATGCAATACAATACTAATATTTTTCAATCTATTATAACTTATCATTCTTACAAGCTGGCTACACACTTAAGCTATAGCTCCAGCTTCAAAATACTGATAATTACTAGTATTGAAGAAAATTGTTTGATATGAGAAAACATTATCAAGAGAAAAGCTGTCTATTTGCCCTTGGTGATGCTGTGGCATGGAACAAAAGAAAATGGTGATATGAAAATTCCATTTCTTGCTTTACTTTTAGTGCTCAAAATTTCCCCCTGTGTGTAGTAGAAAATCTTTAAATTAGTACAAACACAATGTAGTTTGCTAAAGTAGATAATAAAACACATGGCACATATCCATTCCTTTCAAAATCAATACTATTAGTTTCTTACATTTTTACATCTTATCATTTTCATACTTTATAGCAAGTATTTTCATGCATCCAGAAATTCCACATATTGGAGAATAGTAAAAAAAAAAGGCCTTCCTAGGGCACTAAGCGCCTGAAAGGTTCTTGAAAAAGTGCAGAAATTTTATGTACAGATTCTAGTGACGAGGCCTACAAAAGAATGTTGTGGTTACAGTAACAGAAAAAAAATTAAGGTTGTCATGTAGGGATTGTCTTGTACAACAAATACAGTTAAACAGTGTAAAACCAAGTGCAAAAAATTATTAGGTTTTTCCTAGGACCAGTCGGATTGCCGGAAACACAACATTTTTTCCCAAGGCCTAGTCACAACTTAACACAATCTGGATGGAGCTTCTGGATGATATGAAATGCTAGGAAATCTGAGGGCTGCAATACTAACTATGGTATGCTACATGACTTTTGTTTACAGCCAGACCAGGCGCAGATGTGTGCATACAAGTTAGTAACTGTTGAATTCAAGTGGTGGGGGCTTCAAACTGCAGTGGAAAAGTTCATTCAGAAGGTAAGAGGAAATGGCAGTGTCTATGTGTACCCCCCTCCTGTGGTAATGGTTTGTGCCAACAGCCTTGAACATGAAATGGAAAGCAAGGGCAAACAAAAGCCTTCTACACATGAACTTCAAGTTCACAGAACTCCGGGAAGTGTTCTGCAAAAATGTATTAGCAGTGGATTGTATGATGTAATTTAATAGGGTATTATACCACTTCCTCCTAAATTCCTCCACATACATCCCACTTACTCTCACCCAGTGAGCTCAGTCACTTTCAGGCTGTGTATCAATCAACTGTCAAAATCATCTCCCACCCTCCATACAACTGAAGGCAGATGCTACAAACCCAAAACCTGTACTCGGAAGTAATCATGATGTTTCAAAAGTGCTCTGACTTTCCATTCCATGTGAGGGTTCACAAACCGTTTCCCAGAGGGGTGAATTGTTGTCTGTCCCATGTACTTACCTGTGGCCCTGTTTTTTTTAGGAGAAAGAGGCCCTCATGTGTGCATACAAGTTAGTTACTATAGAGTTCAAGTGGTGGGGGCTGCAAACCGCAGTAGAGCACTTTATCCAGAAGGTGAGCGGTGCATGTGGCAGTGTCGGACCCCTAGCCCTGTGCTGTAGGCCTTCATCGTCTTGTCCTGCACGGCTAACCAAGCTGCTAACCTTCCATCGTTTTGCAGTGTTTTGGTCCTGGATGTGGCTCTTTTGTTGACAACGTTCCCTTCCTTTTTAACCCCTGACCTTGAAAATGTCACAGTTCAAAGGTCAGATGGTGATCTTTGAATGATGACACACAGGAACTGGTCAGGGAAACAAGTTTGGCACCTTCCCAAGTCTTTCTGCTCTCTTTGAGTGTTTCTTGTGTGAGGTTTTTGTCCATTCTGTGTGATGTATTTCCTGGACATTGTATAACATTGAGAACTTGGAACAAAGTACTAAAGGAGGATTTTAATGATCAGACAAGTTGCAGGTTTAATAACTTGAAATATTTGGCCTTTTGTATCAATTTCAAATTTTAGTGTCACTGGTAGATTCAACAAAGATTGGATATCAAATATTTGTGCAGGAAAAGCTACTTTCCACTTCAGATTTTGTAAGCCTAAGCTTCACTCACTGAACCAAATAGAAAGCTACTTAGGCTTTGGAACAAGATATTTTTTGCTGCGTATGTCTGAAATACTTGTTTACCCCATCATACCATTTGCACCTCCCCATTATATTTATGCACAAATACAATAATGCATGTGTCAAATAGAAGCCTTTTTAAAGATTTTTATTACCTGATACACATGTTTTTCCACTGAATGCATGCAAAATCATGCACGTGTCCAGTTCAGTGGTCTCCAAATCAAACATGCTTAACTTCAAGGTTCACAGTCTGTATAAGAAGGTACTTTTATGCATCTGCCAGTGGGTTTTTACATCCGGCATTTCAGTCAGTGACCATCTGTCACTTTCATGGCAGTAATAAAGAAATCCACTCCAGTCATAAAACATAATGAGGGGGGATATAGACTCATTCATGTTTGGACAACTGGAACTTATTACTACAGCACTTGACAATGTGTATGTGACATCACTCGCGTTTGAGACTGATTTGTAAGATGCAGCAGCGACACCTAACTGCAGTACGAATCATAACCAGTCATTGTTGCCCTGAAGAAGGTGACAGGCGGTCACCGAAACGTCTGATGTAAAAACCCACTAGTTGTTAAATGAAGAACCTTCTTACACTGTGTCTTACCAACCTGATTAAACTTTTCCTGGATTCAAGTTTATCTAATCTGTTCACCACCTTGTGTTTTTTGGCAGTCTGAGCGCCGGATTTTCACCAACTTCCACCGCCAGCTGTTCTGCTGGCTGGACGAGTGGCACGGCCTGACCATGGAGGACATCCGCCGGCTCGAGGACGAGACCAAACTGGAGTTGGACAAGGTGAGCAGGCCAGGAAAATGACAAATCCAGGGCAAATAGTGTTCAACTTGAGGATGATTTCAATGAAAATTGCATTTGAATTTACCTACACCAGACAAATTTTACCTGCACCACTCAGAATCATGGTTACTGAAAAATTTAGAAACTGTTGCCATTATGTCTTTCATACTTCATAGCCAATGTAGCAAATAACAATCCTCATACACTTACAAGTGTATATAAACCCAGTACACGGGCAAGTGCAGGTAGAAATACCTGCACATTCCCAATTTTACCTGCATATGCAGGTAGTATTTCAAGCTATGAGGCTCCTTTGAAAAAATTCATCCAACATTCAATCAGACTTTCAACTGGAACGTGTTTTCAAAGAAGGGCAATGTAGTCTTCACAAAGGTTTTTGTTTTTCTGCATGTTTGTGTTTTCCTTTTAGTGTTAGTGGTGATAGCATGCCGTGTACTTTTCTTCCCAGCAACGTCTCAAAGAAGAGAAACGTGGCCACACATTCGGCGCAATCGCAGAATAAAGTATTCGACAAATGTGGTCTGTCTTTGTAGATAAGCTGGTTGCACTTGAGAGCACTTTTTTTTGCTATGAAATATAGTACAATGTATCATCCTTTCTTGCAGTGATATGGTATTATGGTGTTGGTTAAGGTTATCCTCTGCAGCTGGTTGCTAGTTTAGGCCACATACTAGCCTTTTCCCGTATGATTACAATGTATTATTAAATATTATGTGTATGGTTTCTTTTTCACTCACTATAATGTGCTTTGCATAATCTCACACTTGGACTGTCCAATGAATTTTTGGAAAACAACTGCCAAAAGGGTAAATTGGTGAGAGTCATGGGTAACTACTGCAAATTCCTTTACTTTGGAATGGTTTTATTTCTCAGTAGGTGGGAAAGGAGGCTTTTGCTGTGTTAGGTCATGGAGAAAGTACAATCACTGCAAAAAGTTTAAAGACTTACAGTATTCAATCAAACTTGAGGTTGTATGATGCATGACTAACATGGCTTGTTCTTGTTCTTGCAGCAAAGAAAAGAAGGAGAGGTGCGCGGTACCAGGGAGACGTAACCCCCTTACCTCCACCAGAACTACACGGCCGTGCCGCGTGCAACAGGCTATCTCACATAGCTACCCTCTAGAGTTGGTCATACCGATGAACGACCATTTTAGTTATCCTCCCAGCAGTGCTAACCTAGATATCACAAAGGGTTAGTCCTTGTAAATAAAACAAATGATGTAGGTGCCCCAATCTCTGTAACAAAAACTGTACTGTCGTATGTTACAATAGATTTGCTGGTACTGTGAATTTGTTTCTCTCTTCCCATTGGTGTCCCCCTGTAGGAAAATTGACATGGCTCATATCAGAGTTTTTAACTTGGAGGAAATGAACACAGCACAAAGAGATATTTGAGAATTGTAGAAAAGACAAGGGACTTGAAATGTTATACTTGATTAGGGTATTTAGAGTTTCTCTGATTTCTTCCTATAACCAGTCCCTTGTCATGTAATGTGAAGCAAACTCAGATGAAACTTGGAAAAAAAAACAGATTATTGTTGTAAATTCTTCTTTTGTGTCCTCCTATACTGGATCATTGACTGTAATGCCAGTTTTGATGTTTTAGGACTAAGACAACCCTTGACTATGCTGTCTTGACAGGCAATGTCCATGATTCTTTTCACAGTGGCCATGTTTTTAAATCATGGACGTACTATAACTTGTAAGTTGACAGGGACTGTTAATTAATAGCAGGGATGAATTAAACAGCTTATTTGACTGATATATATTTTGTGATTAAAAACTAGTAAGTCTTCTTTTAATGTCTGAAACCAAGGAGGTTAAAATAAGAGATTTTTTAACCTCCTTGCTGAAACTTTCTACAGTTCACTGCATGTTGTAGCCTGGGATCAGTATTCACCAAGGTTACTATCTTACCAAGGCAAAGCTAAGAACAGATGGGTACCAGGCTATGCTTGTTGTATGGCTTCCACGCATGTATAGCATAAAATTGCTCTCAAATGTAAATGTGAAGAAATGGCAGTATGTATAATCTTGAGCAAGACTCTGTATTTCAGTTTATGTGTGTTTAAATTTACCAGCTAGGTCAATCATATGGATGACTACAATACCTTTTTATGTGATGCTCACATTAGATAATCCAGTGCTTTCTGTAAAAGATCGTTAATCTTTTAGTAATCAATTCTAAAGCCACAGATTGGAACAGTGGGATGGGGGTTTGAGTAGATGTAATTTATTAATTGTAAAACTCAGAGATACACGAAATACTAGTACTAGATACATGTAACTTTGTATGCCCAACTGCATCTAACTACATGTACTTCCATCTAAGGACCATCTGATGCAAGCAAATTTAAAGGCTAATGCAGAGTAACAGAGTGCCTCTGAATGTGCCCCCAGTATGCATACTCTAGTTAGATGGAAGGAATCAACAGACAGTTGTTGTCATCTTTGAATAGGAGAATTATAAGTATCTGCCTTGTTGCAGACATAACAGTTTGGAGCGCACTCTATTACACTGCAATTGTCACATACAGGAGCACAGAAAGATCACTACATCTACTGTTCCATGTGTACGTATCTTAAAGATAGGTCTTACACTTTGCAAGTAGTGTACTCCTTAGAAATATGCTGCTTCCTCTAGGCCTATTGAAATTGTATAGCAAATAGGGGATTATCCATGGGGCACTTTGGATAACAGTACTGATTCTCTGATTTTTCCTTGGTTAGAAATGGTCTTCTATGATTGTGCTTGTGAAGCTAGATGTGTAGTTGAGCAGGCCTGTGAATTGCTGTGTATGCTTGTAGCATTGATGTTTCTGGAGGGGATAACTTTTGTTTAGGATCACTTTGGTCTTACCTGATAACTAGAAATGATGTGCATATAGGCCTGTTAGTCTGCCTGTCTTTGTGCTTGGATGCACTGTGATCGTCCGCCAAGCGAAATTCAACATTCAAAGCATTTAGCAAAATGTCCTGGTGTGAATTACTACACCCATGTGGCACAAATTTCTTTTAGAAAAATTTTGGGTGCTACATGTGACCTTTGAAAGTCTCTGAGCATGCACAGTTCTGTGGCTATGCATTCATGCATATCATCTGTGAATAGACACTGGTTTCTGTGTATTTTGAGTGGTCCAATTATAGAGGCACTGGCCTTTACAGAAATGTCTATACTGACTAGTCTCATAATTCAAGAGTAATAAAAGGTGTTTCAATATCAGTGGTTGATTATTTGTCTTTGGGGTGGTGTACAAGGATTGTTATTTATTGATAAGCCAATAGAATTTGGATCAGAGTTATTGATAGCATGTTTGGAGAATCATTTTGACATTTTTTAAAAACATTTTTTCAGCCAAAATTGCAACATAGCACAACTTTCAATGTGGCTGATCTAAATACACATATACCCGGTAGTACAGGCTATCTGACCTAAATGCGTATCAATATAAAGTAACAACATCCGCACTGAATAAATGAGAAATTCTGCCTAAACTTGTAAGAACAGTAACATATGGGCTCGAACCATTACAACTTCTGGCATAGCATAGCATAATACATGTACACCTTAAACTGGCAGCTCATACTTTTTTATTATGAACCATGAAATGCAATGAAATTGATAAATCTCAAAACTACTTCTTAGCAGAATCAGAACCTGACTTGTACATGTTAGTTGAAAAGGCATTTGGATCAACCTTTTAATATTTAACACTCCAGTGAAACAGGCAGAGATTAATCATTCCTCTTTCAAATTGCGTCTCTTTGATCTAAGCTCTCAGTCCTTGAGGGGAATACATGGCATACATATAGTATATACTGATGAAAAAATGTTGAAGGAATTCATTCTCCATCTTGCTTACGAGTTGTGCTATCCTCACCCTCAGACTGTCCATCAGCGGTGTTGTACAGCTTACGAGTTATGCTGTCCTCACTCTCAGACTGTCCATCAGTGGTGTTGTACAGCTTACGAGTTGTGCTGTTCTCACTCTCAGGCTGTCCATGAGCTGTGTTGTACAGCTTACGAGTTGTGCTATCCTTACTTTCAGACTGTCCATCAGTGGTGTTGTACAGCTTACGAGTTGTGCTGTTCTCACTCTCAGGCTGTCCATGACCTGTGTTGTACAGCATGTGAGATTTGCTGTGGTTCTCTGCACCAGTGTGCTGTGAGCCATTTTTGCACAGTGTCCCACTGACACTTGGGACCTCCTTTCCCTTGCCCAGTCCATAAGGACACCTGCTATCTCTCACTGGTGGATAGCCTCTCTCATAGTTTGGCTTGATGTTGGCCTCTTTTGGCAGTGACTGACTCTTTGATTGGGTGACTGGTTGTGTGATGTTTGTTGCCTGTTGGTTAGTGACATTAGTCAGTGATGTGTAAACCGGACCAGTATGGCCTCTTGTAGTATGTGCAAGGTCTTCACCGTGGGTCACTGCGTATGGCTGGAGCTGTGGCCCTGGGTCTTCATCGTGGGTCACTGAATATGGCTGAAGCTGTGGCCCTGGGTCTTCATCATTGGTCACTGAATATGGCTGAAGCTGTGGCTCTGGGTCTTCATCGTGGGTCACTGCATATGGCTGAAGCTGTGGCCCTGGGTCTTCATCTTGGGTCACTGAATATGGCTGAAGCTGTGGCCCTGGGTCTTCATCGTGGGTCACTGAATATGGCTGAAGCTGTGGCCCTGGGTCTTCATCGTGGGTCGCTGAATATGGCTGAAGCTGTGGCCCTGGGTCTTCATCGTGGGTCACTGAATATGGCTGCAGCTGTGGTTCTGGGTCTTCGTTGATAAATGTTGTTGCATACGGTGCAAGCTTGCCATTTTTCCTCTTCCCTGACACATCCATGTATGACACAGCGTATGGCTCAATGTCATTATTGTCTTCTCTTGGCTGGATGTTAGCAAAGGAGGTTGTTGCGTACGGTGCAAGCTTGCCATTTTTACCCTTCCCCGACACATCCATGTATGACACAGCGTAAGGCTCAATGTCATCTTTGTCTTCAATTGGCTGGATGTCATCATTGTCTGTTTCCATTGGCTGGATGTTTGCAAAGGAAGTTGTTGCATACGGTGCAAGCTTGCCATTTTTACCCTTCCCCGACACATCCATGTATGACACAGCGTACGGCTCAATGTCATCGTTCCCCTCTGATGTCTGGTCCTGGCCAGGGGTTGGTCGTCTGCCTGTGACTGAGTCTCTGCCTGATGTTCCCAATCTGGCCGAATTTCCATCTGTTTCAGCAGGGGCATTGTGAAAGACCAGACCTGTGCCGTGACAGCGGTCACACAAGTAGAGGACAACCCCGCATGCCGTCAGAAGGAGGATGGGCACAACAACAGCGGTGATGATGGCATTGACGTCATGGTGGCTGTCGTCTTCCTCAGTGATGCTTGTCTCGACTAGAAGAGTGGCAATGTCAGTCCCTGTGGTATACTGCGATCCTGGCATGTGGTAGGCATCTCTGTGGGAATGGTGTGGTTGTGCAGACTGGTATAGTTGTACAGACTGGTGTGGTGGGTATGTGCATCTGCTGTGGTGGACGTTTCATCACATCTCCCCAGCTTGATCCCCTGTGGTGACCTGTCCGTGCTGGTTGGACTGATGATGTCCTTCCTCACGGTGGCAAGCAGAATTCCGCTCAGGTTGGCAGGTGATGCACACGTCAGTAAGTCAGGACGAATAATACGGTCCATGTCTGGTAGGTTACAGATGAACCAGGTGAGATCCTCATCACATTTCAGCTGGTTGTCTGCTAGCATGAGATGTAAGCCCTGGTTTTGACTCAGACACAGGACTTGCTTGTCGATGGTGGTGATGTAGTTGTTTTGAAGGTGTGCAAGCTTCAGTGATGTAAGTGGCAGGAGTGCATCAACAGGCACAGAACGCAGGCGGTTATTGTCTAAAATCAACCTGGCAAGGAGAGGTAGGCCGCGGAATGTATACTGGGATATAACGGAAATGGCGTTCCTTTGAAGGTACAGGTTTTTCACCTTCTCAAGCCCAAGGAAGGTATCAGGTTCTGAGGATGACAAAACATACTACTGTCAATATGTGCAGGGATTTTTTTAGAAGTATAGATTATCGAGATTGCAACAAACGATATTGAATCTACCATAGTTCAATAGTTCATAACATCAGACATTTTACATGAAGGTTACTGTGGATTAATATTACAAAATTGCAAAATAAACCATTTTAAGACTTGGTGTCAAAATCAGTGAAAAAAAAGGAAGAGTACTATAAGCATGTTCATGAACACAATCTACCCCCCATGCCAACTTTTATATAATTTGTAGAGCTGTGTACCTAAATGTAATATCAGGTATCAGTACCAGTACAGTCAGGTTGTGGTACAGGTCCAGAAGTATGTTCTTCTGTAATCTTCAATATTTTTTTAAAATCCAATGTCAAAGTCATTTTCACCCTTTTTAACTGGGGGTTAGACGTGCTTGCATCAAGTGCAAGTCTTTTTTGAAGCAAGATTTTTTACTGGCTGGATGCCCTTTCTAACGCCAACCCTAGTAGGGCCCAGGATCCCTCTAACTGAGGGGGAAAATATGTGTTACGTGCCTTTCGCAAGGGCACAATGTCTGGGTGCATGTCCGGACATGTCTAGGTCCAACCCTGGGGATTGAACCTGGGTCCCCTTGCTTGACAGTCGGATGCTTTATCCATTACACCACACAGACAAAACATTAAGACAATACTAGGCGGCCTTATGTCTTACTCAAACAAAGAACTTTTTGGATTGTTTCTTGTTGCATGTATGTAATACTCTTGGCCTAGCTGTCCTAAAAAGATCAATTGTAGAAAAAGATCAGTTGTAGAAAAAGGTCCATGTGCACATTTCCAATCTCTCTTCATACTGGATTGTAGTCCACCTGACTTTCGTTTAAAATATCTTGAGCCAAAAATGAATATATTTGTCAACATACCAAGACTGGAGATGCGGTTGTCGTTAAGGTAAAGTTTTTCCAACAGTGGCAGACCTTGGAAAGCCCCTGGCTGTACCGTGGAAATGTTGGACTTGCTGATTTGAAGCTGCTGCACTTCTGTGTTGTTGGGGAAAGACCGCTCCAAAATGGTAGGAGAACGGAGATGCTGTATGGAGATTGATTGCGTGGCTTTGACAAAGCCGGTTGGTATGGCGTCGAGACACACGGAGAAGCTGTACGTTCCTCCGTATCCAATCCAGCTGCAGGGAGACCCCACCCAGTTTTCACCAGGGCAGCGACAGACGACTTGCTCTCTTCCCTTGACTCCAACTTGGTAGGAGTGACAGCTGTCAGGGCACCGTAAAGCTGTTGCCGACACGAGAATCAGGTGATTGGAGACCAGAAGTAGGAAGTACAGCATTGCCACGTTTTGCTCCATCGTGGTTACAGATTTCACCTTTGCTGCAATACGTACTAGACCTTACATGTACGTCTTGTTACCGGATATAATGTCCACATGCATGATACATAATATTAGGGTTGCTTGAATATACATGTCACGTCCCAATAGATTAGTCTGAGTCGATACAAACAATAGTAATGCATTTTAATGAGAGTCCTTTTCAAGTAAAAAACATCAAATTGTACAAAAAGTCTGTATGTCTGTAGCCTGAATAAACAATAGTGAATTTCAAATTCGCATGCAACTTTTTTTGGGTAGATATAGAGACATAGGTAGAATATTTACAAAACTCACAATGTAGCTAGATTCCTTGTACATTTATGATTTCTCGACAATAGGTGATACATGTACGCATAAAACACTAGTCCTAAATAAAATTGTTTTGGACACAGTTTTCTTCCTCCTAGAGTCTCATGTTGTTAGTCATCTTCCACCAATCACAAAACAGTTCTCTTCTGCATCGTCATCTTTTACTTGGTCCTGTTGTTCTTCCTCCGGTTCATCTTCTTCACTCTCCTCACTCTCTTCTGTAAACAATGAGAAGTAGGTGAGATCAGACAAGCAAAAGTGAAAGGTTACTTAGATACAATCACTTTCAGTACAAGTATGAAAGGGGCAGGGACATTGGAAGTCATGATTTTACCTTTCTGTTCCTCCTCCTTTTCTGTCTTAACTTCCTGTTTCTTCATTTTCTTCTTCATCTTCTTTTTCTGTCTGCAAATGAAAATCACATCAATCTTGTAAAAATACTAATGCAACATGTACATCAACAATGCTGTCACCTGTGTAAGACAGCAGATTTCTTGTTCTAATTCAATCAATAAAATAAAATCACAAATTACAAAGTAACTGATCTATTTTGCTAAAAGAAGATAATTCCAGGGCATTTATGAAGATGTAGGTGCAATAGGTTGTTAATCTACTGTGTCTAGGGCATGGTATTGAAAGGCAGAGACCATTCCTTTCCTTCCATCACCAACCCATTTCATGTAAAGTGCCTTTCCCAAGGACAGGACATCTAGCCAGGAATGCCACTGCCCAGGAATCAAACCTCTCATGTCTGCTAGCTTAACTACTCAGTGGCTAGCCATTTTACAAACCTTTTTGCTCTCTTTTTGGCTGTCCTTTCCTCTGCTGCCTGTCTGTTGGCATCTAGTATCTTCTCAAACTCATCCTTTTGACTCTCCTGCAAGGTAAAGGATCAAATATTCAATCAGCAAATGTAGGAATGGGTATAGATATTGGAAAATGTTTGTAAGTAGCAGTATATAAAGAATACTGAGTAGCACTATGTCTTCATGTTTCTTCTGCAATTCTCTGCCAAATTCACATTACTATCTTTAATATATTGAGTGATATAGAGAAGCAGAATGTAGTATAAGTCGTCAGTGTTTCTGTTTACAATGTAGTGGTATGCATATCTAACTGTTATACAAATAATTGATAGGCAAATCCCCCAACTACCCGTACCATCCACTTTTTGCCTATCATCTGCTGCCTGTACTGTCATGGCAATTCCTCGTAAGTGACAAGCTGTCATAAGTAGGAAATGTTTTACACGCCTTTCTGGGTAATAAACAGCCATGAGCTCACCTTCTTGGCTTGTTCATCCAGATGTTTCTGTCTGAACAACTCCCGCCGTCGATATCCTCTGTACACATGGAACTCTCCACTCCCTGCACCTGCACTGGAGCCTACATGGAAAGGATCACATCTACTGTAGTTACAATCTATTTCTTTTATGTTATACCCTGTGACTTCTTCATTTGATGCTCTAACTTGCAGTTCATGTCATGTATATGTTCATGTCATGTATATGTATAATTTAAAGAAAGAATCTTGAAGCACAGAATTACTTGCTGTATAGACAAACACTCACTACACATATTATTAAATGGGAACTTGAAACCTAGCCCGGAGTCTAGCCTTGTCACGTTGTCTGTGTAACGGACTGCAGTTCACTGTTTAACCACATGATGTCGTTCTTACCCATAACATCCCTGACGAATTCTGGCGCAGTCGGAGGTTTTCTGGTCCCTTCGGGGCCGTCTGGAATGGGAGCCAGTTTGTCCTGAACAGAGAAAAATTATATGTTGAGTTCATAAGGAAAACACAAAATACGACAAAGGTTTGAAGCGAATGATCTATTTTCAAATAGCCATTGAAGAAGCAAAATTTTATGATGATGCCCCCTCCTCTTCACAAGCCAAACACAATTGATTGTTAGACAACACAGACGACTGACTAACTTTATATTTGGCAAAAGTATGCTTCAGTGTCCTATCCACAACTTACCGGATTTTTCATCAACTTTTCCAGCTTCATCCGTTGCAGATCGGCCGGAGTTTTGGGGATAACCACTTCTTTCTTCTCTTTCGACGCCATTTTGAAGCCAAATGAATGATGGGAAAAGGGATAAACCATCCATAGTTTTAGGTATGGGTCAATACAAATTTAGATACTCAACAGACAAAACAAAGGGATACATTTGAACAACTTCATTCCCTTCATGTGGTACTTCAAACTTTCTTAATTTACCTTTAACTTGACGCCCAAAACTGCATTCTACACACCAGAAATTACCACTACTGCTATGGTATATAACGGTCTATCCCCAAAGGGTAAAGGTTAAGTAGGCGGATCCTGCCATGAAAGTTACAGAGAGACAGGTCAAAACGTAGCAACTTTCAAGGTTTGTAATCAGTTGTTTTGGGTCCACATTGAACCGTAAGGTATCATCCACGTCTAGAAAATATACTTACACAGATAAATCTTGCTGTTATGACAACATTATGTCGGTAATTATGCTTTAGTAAAGTGATGAAAGCAACTTCCCCTTGTGTGTTAGCAGGTATACATTCACGAGTTTACCGAGACCTTTCCCTACCCTGACGCCCACGTGACCTACCCTGGGCGCAAAGGATCCTGGGAATGTGCAACTCGTGAATGGGGTATCGAAAAGAGTTAGTGTTAGTGACATTGTTGACAAACGAAGTCAACCAAAGTTTAAAGTCGAAAACGCATAGTTACAATAACTTACAGCTTTGTAATTGACCACGATGAGTTCGTGTACCCTTTCTCTCAGAAATACAGCTCAATTTCAACCAGGGGCATTGATTTGTGCAAAGAGACCTTTTTATTAATTTGTGCTTTGTTGTTAACAGATCTCCCAACTGGTCATGGGAAATATATAATTTCTCAAGTACCCGATTTGGTGCTTATACCTGAATTAGTAATTAGAACATCTGTGAATAGTTCCATCCGTTTGGCAAAACACTGGATAACAAATTTTAGCTAAGTTTTTAGTTCTGTTGATAATGTACTATATGTGTGAAAATGTTAACTGTCCTTTTCCTGACAGCTATTAGCATTGAGAGAGTGCCTCTGTCATCATGGACAAGTTGAAGAACGCCTTCAAGTTTGAGCTGTTCCAAAATGATGACAGCAGCAGTGTCATTACGTCGTCAGACGCCACAAGCTCGTCGGGTAACGCCGAACCCAAGACCTTCCGTGAGAAACTCTTGCACGTGCTGCACTCCACGGAGTTCCAGGTTGCCGTGGTGATCCTGGTGATCGTGGACTGTATCTTGGTCGTGTTTGAGCTGCTGATCGACCTCGGCGGGATCAAGCTGTGTGAGGAGGCGGTGAGGGCAGAATGTGAGAGTGCAGGAACAACGGCCAGTGAGTTGAACCCACCTGCTTTAGTTATATGTAGCTTGACTACTGACTATATTCTGGGTTATGTTTGCTTGCCTTCTAATAAGTAGCTTGCTTCTTTGAACTGGATACTATAGAAGTCAGTAACACTCACTCACTGAGTTCATGACACTGCAAATATGTCTTCTTTATGTGACTACAGTAGTACAGAATTGTTTCAACTGTAAAATGCAGTCAGAATCTTCATTTTCCACCTTCTGTGAAATAAAACTACTTCAAAAGTTTATCATTGTCAATGCCTGGATGTCTTTTTTTATATTTCTCAGCCATGACTCCAGCAGAAGAAGCAGAGAAAGAGGCAGAATGTGACCATCCGGCTCCAGAGATCCTTCATTACATGAGTATCGCCATCCTCACCATCTTCCTGATTGAGATCATGTTTAAGGTCTACGCTTACCAGAAGGACTACCTCAAGCACAAGATGGAGCTGTTTGATGCTGTGGTTGTCATCATTTCGTTCTGCTTTGACGTCGCGTACGCTAACCACGAAGATGCCTTCGACGGAATTGGCCTTCTGGTCGTCCTACGTCTTTGGCGAGTCACCAGAATAATCAATGGTAAGTGTACTCTTACTAGACTATTTTCTTTCAGGTTTGGAAGTATTGTTTTGGGTGGCTTAATTTATGGGCTTGTCTTAATTTACGTGTCAAGGGGGCAAGGGGGATGATTTTGACAGGTCAAAAGGTCAGGTAAGGAAATGGGGTGAACTTGAAAACCCAGAATACTTCCTGGAAGTCGGGTTTACGGAAAAACCTGGGCTGTCTACCTTACCAGGCTACCTTACCAGTCTACCTTGCCTGTCTAGGACGTCAGGCTACTGAACTCCCCCCATCCACAGCCTCACGAACAGCAAGACTTCCAAGCAGCTGCGCCCCCTGGCGGAATGCATCAGAATTGCACCCACTACTTTGGCACGTGCGTGTGCACAAACCTTAGGCCTGTGCAGCATGGTAATCTCCAAGCAGATTTTTCGGTGGCAAGCCAGAGGAGTGTCCATTAGCTTTGGTTGGCTAATGGATACAGGACGGCCAATGGATACAGGATGGCCAATGGATACTGTCTTTTGCCACCCAACCGAAAGATCTGCTTGGAGATTACAGCATGGAAATAACATAGCCTGACTAATCGCGCTCCTGGCGGCCGGCCGCCCCGAAGTGGGTGGGGGTCATTAACCTCTTGTGTAACACAGGCTAGGAGTTAAACACAGCAAGAGATCTAGAAATAAACTGAACAGGATGTTATGTTTTATTTTATTTTATTTTATCTAAAGTAATCAACAGTAACAGGGAAACGGATGTCGTGGTTACTTTGAGAGCGCACGGGTCGGAGTGTGTATTGCATCAGAACAGGGTGAACTTTTGACCGAAGCGCGGGGGCAGCATTGTCCGTGCCGCACATCTGTAGNGAATCAA